GATGAATTGGTTCAAATAAGGATATTTAAGTAAGTCACCCATGAATGAGCACAAGGTACTTTGTGATCATAATGATCCTAGTCAAAATGAAGTCTTTACACTGCATTACGGTGCATCCTCCCAATTGAAGGAAAAAAGCTCGTATGAGCATAATTTTCCATTTTGGAGTTAAGCCTGCTTGGCGCAATATCGCCATGCAACGCAAAAACACCGTAAACGCCATTTTAAATTTTTTGGAAACAATGTATCATGGCAGGAAAACTCGTGTACCTTGCGACAATGTTTTTACAGAATTCTTTTGCAAATACTATCAAGAACTTAACCTGAAAATTTGAGGTGCATGGGTAAAACCATTTTTATTTTATAAAGTGTTAAGTTCCAAAAAACGAGGGAAAATCTTGATGGATTTACGGTGTTCTTGCTTAGCACGGTAGAATAGTAATGATGCACTGCGTAATGCAGTGTAATGTTGTCACCTTGGGTAGGATCATATGCAGGCCCGCCACATCCCATCTCGGGCCCTGGTACCAATTTTCTGGCCCGGGCCCCTAGCACAGGGGGGGGGGGGGGGTCCGGGGGGCCTCCCCCGGGAAATTTTTGAAATTTTAAATCTATTTGGACGCATTATGAAGCTCTTATGATGGAGATATTCCATCAATTTCTGCAGAATAATTACGCCTTTTTGTTTACTTTCAGCACCAAAAACTTTCGAATTGTTGCATTCAAAACATCTATAATTTTTTTTTTGAGGGGGCAGATGATAATTCTCAATTCTATGGGGAGCCGGGCCCCCCTGGACTCCCCTTTCGTACGTCTATGGCAAGGAAGTTAAGCCATTGAAGTCGAGGATGCCCAGAAAGGAGCCTCTTAGCATCCGACAACGGAAGAAAATGAAACACAGTTACTAAAAATATCATTCTACATATACTCAAAATCTTGAAAATCTCTAAAAAAGTAAGAAAAATTTTATAGTGCCCTAGCGTGTTTTTGAAACTTTATTCACCTTTTGCGGAATTTTTAGGGTAATTTTTTCACTTTCCCCTACGAGACAAGGGTTACACATGAATTCGTAGTGGTTTGTCACCTGCGTCACGGGCCCCTCCAGGGCCCGGGCCCCGGTACCAAGGACCCAGTATCCCCCCCCTTGTGGCGGGCCTGATCATATGATCACTATACCTAGTGCATACATCTGTAGATATTGAGATCCTAAAGTTCAATTATTCTGTTAAAGTACCAGGAGGAAAAACTTCGGTCATAAGGACCGAAGTTTGGTTCGTATGGAACACTAAACTTTTCAGGCCGTGTAAGTGACATTTTCATTTACAGGGAAGAACTCAGGTACAGATCACGGAAATATTCGGTAAAAAGAATGCGGATCTTTGAGTTTTGTCAAAAAATTTTAATCTGAAACCAAGGCTTCGTTTCTATGGTCAAGGACTTAAGTTACATGCAACAAAAACTTTGGTGTTCCTCATAAGCTGAAGTTATTCTTCCGTATGAGTAGAAAAGGCAACTACGTCGTAAACCAAGAGAGGGAAAATGACTGTCACACCATGCTATTATCAATTCAAAGCCCCTCTCAAAGCGTGAAGGCCGTTTTCAGGCCGCCACCGTGGAGCGTGATTATTTTCATTTTTATCTTAGCGCCTTTTTTATGCATTCAAAGTCGTTGAGCTTAGCGACTGTTGAGTGTAGAAAACGGTGAAAAAGGCACAATCTCAGCATTGGATTAGTTATACTCCCGCTTAACCTTCCACGGTGAATGAACTCGCCAGACGTAATGCATTATTGAGTTAGCCCAGGTGGATCGAGCTTGAGAAAGATGATTTTCCGGACCGCGTTCTTTGAGTCGTTGTTCCCCGAACGAAGGAACGTAACTCTTGCACCGAGAGAAAAAACACAGTTATTCTATCGTTACAACGGTAGTATTACCAGTAGTGACTATTACCAAATCTACGTGGGCAATTTCATTTTTTACATGAAGACGGTAGTGCGGATTCTCATGCAAATTTGAGTAAACTGTCTGTCTAGTACGAAACAAATTCCTGACATTTTCAAGGGAATCCGCACAAACGTTCTCTTGCAAAAAATTAACTTTCCCAGTCAAAATTGTCAATAGCTGATGTGGCTTGGTTCCTTTCTGCTAAGCGCGGTCCACTTAAGAATTACCACAGACAGTTGAGTTTAACGCGGAGGAAAACTTCATACACTTTCATTTGAATTGTGTCTACTGTAAGAAAAAGAATCTCTGTATATGCCCTGCAAAATTCCCTTGTTTGGACATCCTCGACAATCACGAAATGTTGCGATGGACTAGGACCTCCATCAATTATTATTTAATTTGGCCGTGTTGTGTTTTCATTTATATTTGTGGATTGAGGTGATTCAATGGACGCCATATTTTGTGTCAGAACGGCATGCGATATATCGCATGAATTGGTTCCATTTTTTCAACCACTTGTCATTTTTCTCCACTTTTGAGATCGCAATTCTGTTGTCAGGAGACTAAAACACTCACTTACCAATTTTAACAAAGAAATTCAACGTACTAAAGGCGTAGTTTTTTCAGAGAGAAAATATCGCATTCGAGTGCAGTTTCGATATCAGTATCGAATTCGATGTTTTCTCTCTAAAAAAAACCACGCCTTTATTACGTTGAATTTCTTTGTAAAAATTGGTAAGTGAGTGCTTTAGTCTCCTGACAACAGAATTGCGATCTCAAAATTGGAGAAAAATGAAATGAAATGAAATGTAGCTGAAAAAATGGAACCAATTCATGCGATATATCGCATGCCGTTCTGACACAAAATATGGCGTCCATCGAATCACCTTAACGCACGGGAAATTTAAAAAAATGAAATAACAAAAAACAACCGTAAAAACTTCAAAAATGCGGAAATGGAAGTGAACTCTCTCGCATCCGAAACACTCTTCATACGGAGAACCGCAACCCTTTGGCGCTGGTCTCAAATCAGAATATTTCACCGTACGCCGGGTCATCTTTTATTGGAATGCGAATTCCTCCCTGTAAAGCAACATACCCGTAGGGGTAGGGATGGAAGGGAGGGAGCTTAGGCTACCCGCCCCGCCGCCAGCTGGGCATTCCATCAAAAATATTCCGTTTCGATATTGCCGAGAAATATTTACTCCGCTTAGAAGAGCGGTATCCCTGTGAAGTCCGAGAGTCCATTTAAAACGGAGGGATCGTTTCGATGGGCGTTGCGTCTGAGGAAAATTTTAGACGGGTCCTCTTTAACCGACCCGTTCCTCTCCGCGATTTTCCTCCGGCGAGCGATGACGTCACTAAAGTTTCCCAACTCTTTACAGCAGGAACGTCGCAATTGTACTTCAAAAGTACTTCAATTGTACTTTCATCTTTTTCTTTGACGTGTACCCTTTACATATTGATTTTCAAAATTCAAATTGGTGTGTCCCATTATTTAGGGATTACGATGAAAATATAACAACCATGTTATAAGGTGATTTTGTCACAGAGCCTTTCGCTCAGATGAATTCTCAATGCTTGAAAATTGAACCACAACATTTCTACTCATTGGGTATTGGGTGGCAAAAAAATGATTTCTTTTTAGTGAAATGTTTAAGAAAACAGAATGCTATACACAGTAATATTGCTTGTGTTAAATCTAATCTGTTTAACTTTGCAGGTTAATTTTTTTCTCTCTGTGGACTCATACTGAGCGCACACAAAAAAACCATGGCACCTTACATTCCTGCCAAATAAGTATAAAAAATTAAGCACGTCTCTCCGATGGCGCAACAGAAGCGCTCCTTAAGCCGGGATATAGCGGGGAGACGCTCGCGAAGACTGAATTGAATTTAAAATTGAAAAGTTTATCCTGGGAGATGCTTGTGCAAGTGCATTAATTTACAAGGGAGCGCACATCCGCACAAGCCATTGAATAATTAGCCGCAAGTGCTGAGTTGTCGGTCCAATTAACTTTCCCAAACGAAACAGGCATTACTCACCCTCCCCCAGCCCCCACCAGCGCGCTCTCGCGGGCTTTTATGCAACTCGCAGCGGTCTTCTTTAAATTTGAACAATGTCGGTTCCTCCGGGCTCTTCCTCTCGCTTCCTCCACCGGGGTCGCTCGGCATACGAGAGAGGGAGGAGGGAGGGAAGGGGGAGAGAAGAGAGAGGGAATAAGAGGGAGGGAAGAGGGACAGTGGAGGGACAGAAGAGGGAGGAAGGCGGGAAGAGGGAGAGAGGAGGAAGGGAAGAGGAAAAGAAGAGGGAGGGAAGAGGAAGGGAAAAGGAAGGGAAGAGGGAGAGGGAGAGAGGAGGAAGGGAAGAGGAAGGGAAGAGGAAGGGAAAGGGAAGAGGGAGAGAGGAGGAAGGGATGAGGAAGGGAAGAGGAAGGAAAGAGGGAAGGAAGAGGGAAGGAAGAGGGAGGGAAAAGGGAGGGAGGAGGGGAGAGATTAAAATATTTGATTTTTTCAAAAGGCGGTTTATTTAGGTCCTTTATTGCAATCTTTGGCAATTTTTAATAACATACTGTCCAACCAATAAAAAGAAATGTAAATATTTTTAGTCAACAGTAGGTCGATTGGGGTAAAGTTTACGTAAGGACAATGAAACTTTTGCAAAAGCGAGGGATTTGCAATTTAACTAATTATTCTCGTGTAAAATTCTGCCAGAAGCTCATGATTACAGGAGACTTCCTCTCTGTAATCAGTCAAAGTCTATATGCATGGATAAGGTTGAATACATTAGCAGGGTTGTCATACTGTGCGGAAATTCTAGTTACGTGTTATAGGGCAGTTTCCAACCAGCAATCATGGCAACACTGCCATATTCAGCGTAAAAAATCGGACTAAATATTAAGGTGGTCTCCTACCCCTTTATCACCATATTTTGGCACCAATATCAGTGTCTCAACGTTTAGAGCTTCAATAATTTGGAAATTGATCTACTGATTGTCTTGTGATACCTCCATGATTTTCCGAGAAATTGTACGTTGATATACTTAGTTGTATCAATGATGAGGTTTGTATAAAACTTTTTCTTTTCAATTTTCTTATGAATGATGTTGATATCACACTTTAGCCGTTTCAAGCCAATCGCTCATCGTCTGGTTATAAAGCGATTAGCTTCAAACAGCCGTAGTTTAAAATTAACAATCAAATGTAAGAAAAAGTTTTGAATCAACCTGATGAATAGAACTTGCAAAAAGAATCAACCGACTGAATCAGTAATGCCAGGCATTTGTAAAAATTCCGTTTTTTTCGGCGATTTTTTCTTCTTTCCCATATATTGCTACTCACTGTCTTCACACAGTTTATTGTAGGGACTCAAAACAGTTGGAACAAACGAATTACTGACACTAAGGGCGCATGATATAAATGAACAATCTTTTATTAAAAAAAAGTCATACCTATATGCATACAGGTTTACTAACGCAACTTGCATAAGTTAAATAATGAATCTCAGTAAGGTTGGGCCAACGGTCATTTCACATGACAATAGTTACAGTAAACACCAAGCAAACAGTCACTTGATGAAACTACGTATACACACATAGTACAGAATTTGTTATTTTTCCGTCCTTCTGAGGTTTATTTTATCTTGAGTATCCCTTAAATTATCATATTACTGTAATTATTGGTTTTTAGGAGATACATTAATTTATTTTTTATTTTTTGTTCAGGCTACATTTATGCGGAGCATTCCCACTCGTCGCAGAAAAGGTTCTCGGGACTATACACAGGACCTTACTTCGATCCGAATGCCTCTTCAAATATCACCACGCAGCTCGGCACTCACGCATACTTGCCTTGCAGAATAAAGCAAGTTGGAAACAGATCGGTAAGTCAACACTAACTACTTAAAAAGAAAGAAATAAAAAGAAAGAGGCAGGTACCATTTATATCGCCACGTACACATTTTTCAATTCATTAAAAATGTTCTACGTCTCAAGATACAAATGAGGAAGAAAACTACTACTATACTTTCAAATCAACTAGGTTTATTTCTTTCCGAATTCTTTGTGTGTATTATTCAAGCTTTTGTTTTTTCTGTTTTGTTAACTCTTTATTCTAGAGAAATATAGATCCAATGAATCAATTAAATCATTTCGTCTAATGAGTGATCTAATTTGTACAAGAATTTCCGCGACGTCACTTTCATTTTGGAATTCGTTAAATTCTTTTAACTGACAAGATCGCAATATCCTTAATGAGCATAGTATTCTGCAGCTTAGCAACTGTCAAGGCAAGGTTTCTACACTTATTTTGAATTTTTAAATGTAAAATAAAAATATTCAAATGCCAAAAAATATTTTTTGCACATGGCTTTAAAATTTAGCAGCATATCAGGAGTGAAAATATGTAGGAGAGATGGTGAAAATGAAAGAAAATGTGAGATGAAGATTACGAAGTTGTCATGAAGCAAGTAAACACACCATAATGGGTAAACGGTGGGAAGAGAAGATTCACTGACACACGCTGAGGAAGTACATGATGGAAATAGACCTGAAATAATTTATAAGCAGAGTTCATATTCGTTTGATGACGTTATGACGTCACCATCTATTTGGTGGCGTTATCATGATATCAAGGAAGCTATCAAGAAATAGTATTCACTTCAAACTTTCGTAAATGAAATATTTCGAGCAAAGGGTTGAAATTGGACAAAAAACCGAGTTTTGTAAGAGTGAGAAATGAAGGAGTGCAAGAGAGAAAGGGAGAAAGGTATGGCACACGTTGTATTTACTTTCAGCGATACTGAAGAAACCAATATTACATTTACAATATTTATGTTGTTCCATAGTCTGGACTCTCAATACATGGTGGCCATAGTCAATAATAGTTGTATTTATACGATTAAAGAATAAATCCAATAACGCAGTGATTCAAGTATCAACTTAGAGAGAATGTTTCGGGAAAAAATATATAGGTAAATTTTCTAGAAAATAAATATTTTGCCAGAAGAGATGCGGCAACTTGCAATGATACATACGAGTTTTCCCTTAGCACGATATTGAGCAAAGACGACATAACGAGGACGGCATGATTTACGCGGTGAAAATCAGTCAACTGGGGTCGGTTTTTAACAGAAGTTTAGGTTCAAGCATTGGACGCAACTATTTTAACTCTCCGGAGCGGGGAAAGTATAACCGCCCAATTGAAGGGGTTTTAAAATCGCCAAAAGGACCGCACGGCGAGGCGATTCTGAAAGATGCTGAAGAAAATGGAAGACTTTCTGTAAGTATAGAAGTACTAGGGGGCCCCGCCCCCTGACCGCTACGCGGCCCAACCTCCGGGAGGGCGCCTCGCGCCCTCAGGCCCGCTTCGCGGGCCCTATATGCATATGTATAGGCAAAAATGTTCTTCCATTTTAATACACCATTTTGTGTTCGAGCTGCATCGATTTCAAAATTTTTGACGTAACACTCAGATTTGTAAATGATGAGGAATAGCTGGATGTACACAATTTCACAGTCCACTTACTGGAGAAATTTCCATTTATTATGTTATTTTTAAATACTTAATTTTAAAAAAAAAAATCGGATTTCGACCGTTAAGAGTTCATAATATTTGGTCCGTCCCGACGCGACGCAGCGCCTGTTCATAATTTTTTGCACATCTACATCTACTACAGATGACATACATGTAAAGATCATTCTTATCGATCCGGCAGTTCGTCAGAAATAGTGCCTCCAAGATTTTGCTTGTAGCTGTATAATATAGATTTTCTTAGTTACCAATAAGCCATGCGGATATTCTTTTAAAATATAAGAGCGACCACAAGAAAAGAGACCGTAGTACGCAATATTTTCAGAACAGTGATTTTTGTCGTCTAAACATTGAGTTTTGAAATTTGGAGAACTCTCACTAGTATCGTGAATTACAAGTGATAAGCGGTTTTAATTTATTTGTTTGCCAATAGAAGCAGGCGTAAAATTTCATCATAATGTGGTAACGTTGTGCTTTGAACAACACGGATTATCGTTTTTCCTCTGAAAACTTCAAACTATATATCTGATTTGGTTCGTCATGTTTAGATTCCTATTTTCCCAAAGATTTCTCAGAACATTCATATGTACTTGATATCAGTGACTCAGTTTGCTTAGTTTCTAGTTTTTGAGACTCTGGCCCGTGTCACACATTCAAAATACTCCATCAATGTGTCAAGATCAAGTGCTGTGATTGGTCCAAGGAATCGAATAAGCCAATCACAACACCTGACCTTGATTTTTTTATAATTAGCTTTGAAAGTGTGACACAGGCTCAAGATTCCTTCCCCCATAAGCGGTCACTCGTGTTATAATTATTCTTTTCTTCGTTTTCACAAAAGTAGCGTGAGGTCCTTGAAAAAATTAACGTATTTTTAAACGAAATCAGAAGTTTTTACTTTCTATAATAAGCAGGTAGTAGCATGATATTCAAAATACTTCCCTTTCATGGCGATTTTGCAAGTTGTCAATACCGTTTCTCCTCCATTTAAATCAATTGAAAATATCTATGTTAGGTCCTGCCTCACCAAGGTACAAAGAATCGATTGTTTTAAATAAATACAAATAAAGGAATTCAGTGATGCCAACTTTCAAGGATCATCACAGCTCCTCTATAGTGACTCTAGGGACTTTCGATTCAAAAATATTTGACGAAATTGTAGAAAATTTCATACTAATCTTTGGCACCGTGAATAGTACATGAATAAGATTGAAGAATAGTGTAAACGCTTTACCCTTATCTCCTACCTTATGCCTCTCGTATACAGTTCGTCTCCTCCAGTTACTTATCTTAACAGGTTTACTTACCCTGTCATTATTCGATAAACCAAAGAATAAACGTCCATAAAAATTATGAATACGTCACCATACCCTGGAAAAAGAGCCTCTTGAATACGAGTTCAGACTCTTTAAAAAATTGACAAGAAAAAATATTCCCGATTCAATCGGATTTTTGCTTGAATCTAGAGCTAAGCCTCTCAATTCAAGCGGGTTTTCTCTTGATCCAAGCAAATATCCGCTTGAATCAAGAGTATTTTTTCTCGTCGAATTTTTTAAGAGTCTAGACTTTAGATCCAATTAGTGGCATGTTTTCCCGGTGTCGCTTTCTTTAAAATATGGTCTCACACTGATTCACGTAATATTTTGATGAGATAGGCAACATCTGCTGGAGGGATTTAATTTTCGCCACAGTTTGGTGACGAATCAATACTGGCGGCGATAGGTTGGCCAGATCGCGTGGAAATCATTCATCATGGTGCAGATTCCACGGCGAGCGGAAGGAACTGACTTTAAAATCGGCGTCCTCGCGCCAATACGATACTTGGGAAGTGGTTTGCACACACAAGACGCGCGAGTGCTGTATTCATTCGCAAGAGACGGCGCCGACTTAGCGAGCGCTGAGTATGCAAATCTCGACAACGGCAAAGCTGGTGAGAATGTTGACGTTTCTCACCAGTTTCGGTTTCGGTTCCCCGCCGAAATGAGCTTTCGTCAATGTGACTGGCTTCGACCGGAATGTGCAGGGACAAATTCATTCTGCCTCCCAAAATATTACACGGACGTGTAACACAAACGAAATTAAAATGCACCTCAGATACATCAAACTAGAATTGATATGCTTTTGGGAGGTTTTATCACATGATTGAGTTCCAATGACGTGTTTCGGACACCATCTATAACACAGCGAATCAAGATCATCTTTAAATATACGAGTATATGTAATTTTTAATAAATTTTTTTCGATCCTAAGATCAGTTGCTACAGTTTTTCCATGATTCCTAACTTATTCCGTAGATTTTAAACTATTCGACGTTTTCAGAATCCGATACGGGTCTCCGCCATACATCGCCCGATAATCGAAGTTTGATTGTACCAGCATCAAGAATTTTGAAAAAAGACTTAAATGTGCTGTGTTCAAGACTGGTAACGAATTTTGGAGCGAGGTTTCTTTTGCGTAATTGCATGAGTTTCACTCAAAACGTAATGTATTGACTGAAACAAGCTATCTGCCCAGAGACTTTAGCAAAATTGCTCAATCTGCTGCCTACCGAGTAACATATTTTTGCCTCATAGCCCTCCTTTCATGGCAGCAATAGCGCACACATTATTGAGTCCCATTATTTGAACACCTCCACTCCAAAAGTTAACCGATTATTTTCTAAATCACGTAAGCCCCAATCTCTATTTTGGTGGTAGAGGGTTTGTTCTTCCATTGTTGCCTCTGGTATGATCAATCATGTCTGATTTCAAAATAGCCCTCTAAAATAACATACATTTGTTGGAACTCGAAGATTGTCAACAAAGCAAATTAAACGATTTTTCTTGACAGAGGCGGATCCTGCAATTTGGCAACACCGGATTTCTTCCATTCAAACCTATGCTAAATAATCGATTCTTGTCGGAGCACCTGGTCCATCCAAGAATCGATACATTATTCCATAGGTTTAATTGGAGGAAATACAATGTTGCCAATTTGCTGGATCCGCCAATGTTTCTTGTTTTTCTCGCATTTGCAATTTTGGCGCTCACGTGATTTGGAAATTATCAGTTCAATTCGACTTGGTGTATCGCTCTGAAACTCGGTCCTCCTGTAATAATACCCAGCGGACTGGAGGGTACTCACTTTGAAAAACACCAAAAAGCATGAAAATTCCGCCCCCTGTTTTGCAGCGGGTGGAAAAATCAGTGAGAAATTGCCAGGCGGCTGTTGGGCGGCACGGATGAGGCGGCGAAGAAACGTTCGGACGGTACTTAAACGGGAAAATGCCGCGGAAATAATGTTCCCAACGTGTTGAGACAAGCTCCCCGTATTTGAGGGGGCGAGGGCGGGGGCGACGGGCGGTGGGGGTGTGAAAATCCCAGTCGGAGCTTTTGAAAACGTTGGCAGAATGGCGCGTGATTGTTGGCTCCCACGATCCCAGAACGTGGACTACTAATGAAGATTTAGGGGTGGACCCGGAACCTCCTTAATTATACTTATCGCCTTGAATTTGTTGCCTTATTTTTCTCCCACCTTCCACTTCCTACTTTTGCATCGGTGGTGTCGGATTGAGCCGAAATAGATAGAACTTCCACCAGTAGGGATTTCCCAAAAAGGGTCATCCTTCCCCCTACAGAGCAGAAAATTTCGGAACCTCAATTGATCCGCCATGGATAATACTTCGGACCATTAATCGCGAAAGTTTTAAATAACTTTAATACATGCAAACTTCGAGGCTTTTTTTTTTTTGAAAATTCTCTCCTCATTTCAAAAATTTTAAATTCAAAGAAATAAGATGTGACCAAATGAATAAATGATATAAATGATCAAATAGTTAGAACAATATGTAAATAGATATGTAAATAAAATGGGCAAGTAAAAAGCTTAACTTTTCCTGCTATTCTCAAAATGTATTTATGTTTTGTTCCATATCATGCCCTAACCCTCTTTCATTTACACTTCAAACATAAACATGTATAAGTGGATTCTTTATTGACTCATGAAATTGTAGGAAAAGTTCATACCGCCCTTCTTCCCTCCAGAAAACCGCCTACCCAGCTCACGATTTTCAACACTAGGGTGTATTAAAAAATGTTCTGCACGTTTGAATCATATGCAATGTGCATGCAATGTCCACCACTTTTTTTATCTTCGCAACTCCATGAAGCATATGATAACTGAGTCAGTCAAAAGTGGATCCCCATCGGACTGACAATTGAAATTGATCGACAAATAAGACGACAAAGGAAAATGGAGCGGTCTTTTTGATGGAATTGGGTGCTTGCAATGGGCAAAAGAGGTGAATAATAGCTTAGCTGATGCAACCCACAAGACACCCTGTATGCAGTCCATCAGTTTTCCCCCTAGCCTTTAAAGGCTAAGGAGGAAAATGCAATAGGCATTCACTTCAACCAATAGGATCGCTCCAATTTCCATGTCTCTTCCTCGCCTAAATCTTCACTTTGCCTATCAATTTCAATAATCAGCTTGTACAGTGACCTTACTTTACCTATGAAAGCATTCTAAATTGGACGTATTTCTATCAAACAGATTTATGTGCAGGTGAGAAATATGGGGTGTGCTCGTTAATTCTCTGGCCGTGAGAGTGAATGAGAATAATAAAGCGCCAGTGACGTCAGCGGCAATGATCGAGCTGTGGCGCGAGGGGGTGATCGTCGTTGGGGCGCTTTAACTCATGAGCCCTGTTCACATCGTTCTCGTGCCATGCCCGCGGCTCATGAGTCCCGCATTCAGTTGGCATACAGTTCTGTTCGCTGAATTTAAAATCCCACTTTCCCAATTATTCAAAAGGAATCACGCGCACTTTTACATTGTTTCTTATGCAGCTTCCTAGAGCACACCCCATATTTCTCACCTGCACATAGTTCTGTTTGATAGAAATACGTCAAATTGCGGAGCTCGTGGAAGTTGAGGTCCACCTGGCTCATTCATCACCAGTGGCGCCAGTGCTGGATGTGGACTGGTTCGGGGGCTGGGGGTTGGGGTTGGGGTCGGCGCAGTCCTTGAGGAGCTTCAAGATGAAGGTGCCGTCACTCTTCTTTCCGAGGACGTAGCAAGCGGCGTCGCTCCCATCGGGTGCCTGGATGCACTGCCCGTGGACGATCATTCCACATTCTGTCCTGGCCCCGAGTTGTGCCAACGCGTAGGCCGCTTTCCGACATCCTTCTCGGCGGCCGCTGTTCTGGTGGGAGCGGGTGTGCGGCCCGAAGCCCTTGCACGGCTCGTCGTGCATGATGTCCTTCCCGCCCGCCATCACGTCCTGCCCGTTCGACCCGCCAGGCGTTGCTAGGAGCGCACACTGAAAAAGGGATGAGCACTTGTCGGTAATGCCGTGATAGCAAAGAGTAGAGTCCCTTTACACTGAGAGTCAAGACAATGTGAATCCATTTCTGATTGGTTCCCGTATTTTAGGGCTCCACGGCGTCACAAACGGGAAAAAAGATTACATTTTAATAAATTGCAAAGATTTTAATCTGGAATGGACCGAGGAATTACGGGTTCGATAAGGAACAAAAGGAATGAGAGAAGGAACGGAGAAAGGAATTTGAGAACGGGCCGATCGAAGATTACAAAAAACGTTCAATGGTGAGTCAGGGTGAGCTTTATTCCCGTGTGTGACTTTCAAAATGCTGAATTAACCGCTACAGCAGTTACTTTAGCAATGTCAAAATGTAAGACTAACTGCTGTAGCGAGTAATTCAGCATTTTGTAAGTTCTCGCACAAATTTTTTACATCCAGAATGTCAAATCAACATCACTTTTTTTTTCGGTGTGGTGCCAAAAGCTTTCAGCACTGAAAAGAGAGGTAGGGGTTTTTGGATGATATGAACAATGGACCACTAGACAAGGTACGAATTTCAGCATTCTGATACATGTTTCTCAATCAAAATTTCACGTAGAACACGATACGCACAACGAAAATTACCAAAATCAACTCCTGACGAAGATATTTAATGATTCTTGATGCGTGAATTACATCTTCGTTAGAAATTGATTTCGGTAATTTTCATAATGTGAATCGTGTTCTACGTGAAATTCTGGTTAAGAAACATGTATCAGATTGCTTAAATTCGTACCTTGTCTAGTGGTCCATTCCAATCATTTGTAGCAGTGCCCAAATACATCAGGTTCCTAACCCTCATGTTTCGGTACTACCCCAGCTTGAGTTACGTGCAACCACAATTGGGCGTATTTCTGCCAAACGGAACTATTGACGAGAGGAAAAGAGCGGGTGCGCTCTAGAGAGCTGCTCAAGAAACTATGTTAGAGTGGGCGCGATTCCCTTTGGAGAAATAAAAAAGCGGTATTATACAATCTCTCAAACGGAAATATGTGCCAATTGAGTGCGGCATTCATGAGCCATAGGAATGGGAAAAGAGCGTTGCGGACAGGGCTCGTGAGTTAAATCCGAGCGAGGGCGACAACGGGGACGGCTTCGTAGCCGCTGACGTCACTGGCGCTTTATAATTCCCATTCATTCTTACGGTCCTCAACTATCGAGCACTTTCTTTTTGCCCACCTTTGTCTGGTTCCGTCTGGCGAAAATACGTGCGATCAATTGAAACTGCCCATATCATTTAACAAATTGAGGTAGTACCACAAACTTAGGAAATAATCCCGAACACTTTTTCCCCCGTGAGGCTTCGATTAAATACAGCAAATCTTCGCCCCTCTGAAGTAAGACATATCTTAGATTCGACGCTAACCCTGTTGCCCATATAACTGCATGCTCTCCGCGGCTCACGTGGAATTAAAGGTACTCTCTCATGTCAAAAAACAACGAAATTTGAAGCACCTAAAAATAAGTCAGTTGCGCTGGTCATACAATCGTGTTTTGATGCTTGATTCTTGTATTAGCTACAAAATGATAAGATCTAATCAAAATAGCAACTCTCTACTGACCGAGATATCGCCCTTTGAAAAGTTGGGTTCATGACGTCATCCACCGCGGTAGTGACACCCTTTGTTTCTTACACCTCGCTTTCATCCGAATTTCACGTCGAGTAACCAGTGTAAATGTGTGTCTCCCTGACACATGAAAGCCAGGTGGAAGAAACCTAGGGTGTCACCACCGCGATTGATGACGTCAAAAACCCGACTTTTCAACGGGCAATATCAATTAATATTTAACGTGAAAATCTGCTGTTTGGACGGATCTTATAATTTTTAGCTAATCTGTAAGAATCAAGCATTAAAACATAATTTTGTGACCTGCGCAACTGACCCATTCTATGTCCTTACCTTATAGACCTTTCCAGTATTGGGCGTTTGCCGAGGGAATCCGCTTGGCTGTTGCCGGGGCGTCTGCTGATTAAATCCGCTTGGCTGTTGGAAAGATTGTCCCCGGTCCACCAAAAGCACAAAAACGCCGCAAAGGACGGAGAGATGAGTCCCTGAAGAGACCATTATCATCCGAACATTTAATGCATGTCAAATTCGTCCGAAGCCTTCTCGTCATAGCTGGCAGTGCCGGTTTAAAAATCCGTGCGAAAAAAAGAATAGCTCCCCACCACCCACCCAGATAGATCCCATGGGCGACATTAGACAAAAGTGATGCATCTAAAATTATGCATTTGAAGAATCGCGCAATGACTGAGTTCATTCGGCGTGAAGATACGATGTTCTTTAAAACTATTAATTTAGATACGTAACTTCCGTCTAATTATTACGTCCACATGTCAAGCTGGAATGACTGCTCTGAAGCAGTTTATGATGTTTGAACTGTTTTGTTCACACATTGTAGACGGCTGTTGATATAATGATCGCGTTCATGGAGAGACGGAGGTTTATTTTTTCGCGCCAAGGAATAACGTCGTATAAACGTTTGGAAACTGCCAAATTTTCATCTGATGAAACATAAATTTTTGAGAAAAGATATAAATATTTTCCTTTGAAATTTTCACAAACTTAAAATGAAGTTTCGAATACATTTTCCTAAAGAATAAGAGGCGAAATTCTGACAAATTTTCCGGAAATTATGTGTTTTATAAAACGAAATCTGGCAATATCTGAAGGTTTATACGGCATTTTTCCTTGGCAAGCTACTTTTACTAATACGGCTGCATCTGCATCTCTACCTTATGGTTCAGTTACACGATCAAATTGAGTCATCAAATTGGGCCTCTCATTGGTCGCATCCTCACCTCAGGTCTTTTTCCACCAATCAGAGCTTCAGTTTGATGGCTCAATTTGATCGTGTAACTGAACCTTACGGGATCGTTCATAAAGTTCGAAACTTACTGAATCATCGGAGGGTGTGGTTTATCCTGCTCGCGTTACGAGGGAACTCAAAGTTAGGCTCATTTTAAAGCTTAGGACTCTTTTTTTTTTAGTTTTGAACTATTTGACGTAAATATGCTTTCAAAACACTCAATGTGGATCTGTTCTGTTTGCTTTCCCTCATCCAAGTGAAGTTGCATTTTGCTAAAATGTAACGAAATGGACTAAATTTTGAAATTGGCAACTACAAAATCCGGCTCAATCTGGACACAACGTATGTACCATTAGTTTCCTCATGTACAGGTGAGGCAGATATTGTAGATCCTAAATGCAAAAATTTGTCCTAATGATAAATGGCGTTTAATTGAGAGAAATTTCAGTCGGGCTCATTCAAGCTATATTCAATTCAATATACTCGTGTAAAAACCACTAGTGTCCTTTTTTATAATTTTGAGAGGACGGAGAAAAACATGCAACATGGGATTTTAAATCCGCCCGAACTCAAACCTCCGACTTCCTCACCCTACTCCAATCCCGAAATTTCTTCAGAAGCGGGTCCAGCAATGTGGCAACACCGGATTCCCTCCATTTAAGCCTATGCTAAATAATCGATTCTTGTCGGAGCACCTGGTCCCTCCGATAATCGATACATTTTCACAGGTTTAAACGGAGAAAAAACAATGTTGCAAATTTACTAGATCCGCCAATGGGCCTCTAAGAATCCCACAAGACATTAAAAGGACATTGGCAGTTTTCCAAAGAGCGGATTGGATTACACCCTCGACTTTTTCGGAAATTTGTTTACTGCAGTGCGTCTACGTGCGGAACTTATTTTTATGATCGGCTTCCAGTTCATTCATGCAATAATTCGTTGCAATTCTTCCACTTTCCCGCGTTTGACCTGAACTCGCGCACTGCTTCGGTTCGCTCCACCAGGTGCGCTTCCCGGAAACGCAGATGCGCTCCACAATCCAACTTCCGCTTCCGGTTTTCGCCGAATAGGTCAACCTGAAAACGTGCTTAACTTTGCATTGCCGAATTTTCTAACATTCATGGAATCGATAATCTATTATGAATCAAAAGCACTCATCACAATAGCATGTCATGATGCCGATATATCAAATCGTTCTTTCCTAAACAAGAGAACGTTAATCTATTCGAAAATTTCAAAATTAACTCAAATTATTCAATTTTCCACAATAATACGAGTATGGTGCAATCCCTACCTGACATTTTGCCGTATTTCCGGTTTTGAAAAAAATCAGTGAAACTTCAGCGAGAAATAAGCAACAATTTCCCAGTATTATTAAATTTGCTACATCGAGATGTAGTGACGTTTTTTTCATCTGAGAAATGACGAAATTACGCAAGCTTAATAGATTTATGTCCGAATGTGTGTAAGCGTATTCACTTCTAATGGCCTCTTTCATCACAACCCTAACTTGAGGAGCATACTTTTGGTATGGAAAACGGAGACACCATCATGGCAATGACATTTCATCAAGGAAGAAGAGATGATTTCATGAATAATAGAACAAGGCGCCTCCATTGTGCGGAAGAAAAGAACGCGCGTTGATGACGGCGCAGAGATACAACTATTCGTGCTTGATGGATGTCCGTGTTGCATGTGCGAAATTGAAGGCGCGACGGCACGAAGCGAGAACTTACAATGCTCCTCTGTACTCTATGCTGCCACTATGAAGTGTCACTCAGATTCGGGAGATAAGTTAAAAAACTAGGCTCAAATACGTCTCTTTTATCTATAGCTGTGTTGATACTCAATTTTTTTTTAACAATTTTTTTAATTTGACGGGAGAAGGTTTTTTTATGATGTATCTGTAGACCTCGTAAGTACCGAGCAAGCCTCGGGTCAATTTGACCCAGCTTGGGCATCTGAAAATTGAGAATTCAGTATTCGCGCATAGGAGCATATATTTCCAAATGATTTTGGAATGGCATCGCTATAGATCATCCATTTTTTTCGAAGTACGGAAATATAATGCCGCCCGCAGAATGATTGTAAAGCACGGACAGCAGCAACCACCAGATGCTCATCAAAGTAGAAGCTGATGTTTAAATTTTATATACTATTTTCCATTTATATCCTCTCCATTTGCAATTGGACTTTTGCCACGTGTAAAATATACCACAACTCAGCCAGCCACGTAAAAATTCAATCTGTTACTTCCGACTCGTGAGTAAAAAAGTTCGGACTGAAATCGGACGCTCAGTTTCAACGATATCTTAGTATATATTAAATTGTTAACGATCTCACTTTTGAACTCTGATTTTACACGAGCATTCGCCACGATTCCAAGTATTAAAATTAAATCCCCGCAACTGAATCGAGAGAAAATACTTATTTCAATTTTAATAGTGGAGTTCAAAGCTGAAATTATTTGTGGTACGCAAACGGGAAATGCCGATGCCTTCTCCAAGAATTTACAACAAACGCAACAATGACTTTTCTAGGAACTCTGTCTCAGTTGTGCCGTGTTGAGGAAGAACGTCTTATAATCATTTGGTGGTTGCTAAATCTCCTCTGAAAAAATATTGATTTAAAAGAGATATATAGATGCTTTTCTTCAAAATCTCCAGCATCTTAGATTAAATTGTGAGTGGAGTTCTTTGAAACGTTGAGGGAAAATAATAAGTTATCAGCAAGAAAATTTAGAATTCATCATAAGAAATTTTGCAACAACTTACAACAGTTCATACAGTGTTTTTCATCAGCACGGCAAAGTTATGTATACATTCGAAATCCAGAAAATTCGACGAACTCGTTAATAAAACTCTGTTTTTCTGACTGTCAACGACTTGTAACTAGAAAGTCTGTTGGAACTGTAATCAATTTGCCAGAATAGAATCTGACCTTTTAATTTCTTTGAATCGAATCGGAAAACGGAATAATAATTAAAAATTAAGAAAAGTTTCGTTAAGTCAAAGTTGTAAATATTGGCCCATCGCCTTTAAAAATTCTTTGCTATCGCAGCATTCAGTAGCATATTACGTCGGCTGCTAATCACGCTCCTACGCTCTAAGTCGTACTTGATAGTTGCGTTTCATTGATTCGCTGAAGGTTTATAAGAATCGTAATTACGCCAAGTTTTTAAAGTTCAACATCAACGGAATCGTTTTTACTCTTCAAAACATGCGTTCTTCATTGCCTATCTATAATTGCAGTTTCTCTATCAAGCTAGTGTCCAAAGTTTGCGCACTGAATGATGAAGGGTTTATAGTTTCGCCTCTTGAATTATTTTTGAGATTAACTGGACGAAACTATGGTTTTTACATATGTCATAGAGTATGTTATCTGCCGAATTGTGTACCACCGACACCCCCCCCCCCTGAAATAATCATAAAGTCACACCAAAACTAGTCACGCGTCCACTTTGATTCAAGCTCAAGGAAACGTTTGGATGAGCGGAAAATGTAAACTTCCCATCAAAAAAACTCTAATTTCTCAACTTGAAGTCGAATTTGAAATCTTTCGTTCGGCTCATTGTGTTCCATGTAAACTTCAGAGGAATATTCCTAGTGGCGCTTGGTTTCTTAAGTGGTAGTTCATTCCCCGAGACAAATAGCGACTCTCTTCTGGTACCTTAGCAAGACTGAAAGCTTATATCTCCACGGCTTCTGCATTCAACTGTTGACCTATGATTTTGTTGGCTGTTAATTGGACCGCGCTAAGCAGAAAGGATCCAAGTCACATCAGCTTTGCCAAATGTAACTGGGCAATTTAATTGTTTACAAGGGAACGTTTTTGCGGATTCTTTTAAAAATGTTAAGGAATTTGCTTCGTAGTGTGCAAAACATTCACTGAAATTTGAAGAAAAATCTACCCAACCGTTTTCATGTAAAGCATTAAAATGCCTAATTAATTTTGGTAATAGTTGATGTGGCTTGGTTCCTCCCTGCTTAACGCGGTCCAAGTGAGTGACGTGCTGAGCGATTTCTTCAACAATTTGGTACCAACCAAAATTTGGTAATTTTTTGGGGCTTTTTGCATCCCCCGAAGTTCATCACCAAACAAAATCAGCCTCTTGATGGGAGTTATACTCTGTAAAAAACTCGCGACGACGCAAACTCGTCAACGAGTTATACTATGGTATTTCACTGTATTTCTCTCTATGCACCCCTGATTGTTGAGTCCTTTAAATGTGAAGCATGTTATGTCCAGTTTGTCTTTATGACTCACGGAGTTTATCAATGGTTGTTGCAGGTTTCTTGGGTGCGGAAGCGTGATTCGCACATCCTAACGGTGGACAGGTACACATTCGTTGGCGACGACAGGTACCAGGCGTTCCAGGCCGACGGGACGGATGCGTGGACGCTCCAGATCAAATTCGTCCAGCCCCGAGATGCTGGCCAGTACGAGTGCCAGGTTTCCACCGAGCCAAAACTCTCACATATGGTCACGCTCAATGTCGTTGGTGAGTCTCCAACTGTTCCAGGACATTCCGTCAACGATTTTATATCCGCGCACCTGTTTTGTCCAGTAGTTTACGTCCGCGCACAAAATAAGCAGAAAATCTTGGTCAAAGCGTTATATTTTAGTCCATATCTAAAATTGTGCTGTCAATATTGAAATGAGAAAATTGAGAGAGAAGGAGGTATTGTTATGGCAACTCATTTTATGAATGAAATATTATCTGCTTCCTTTGATTCATCTTTTCAGATTGTCATTGATGAATATTTGGTTTTATTTCTATCCTTAATATCGCCGATATAAAATGTAACTAATATGTACCCTTTTTTATGAAAATATTACTTCATTTTAATAAAATTTACATTTTTAAACAGTTAATGCACAAAATATAAAAAAAATTAATGTGCTTTGGAAATCCTTAAATTTGACACGGAACAACCTGAATATGTGCAAAAGACACACATATTTTATTCCATCAATTTAAATGAGAATAATCCATGCAGAACGTGCAAACATTTCAAAATCATGAGTTAAAAAACGCTTACTCCGCGAGTTTAAATATTACAGCCTAACACACAGCGGAACGGTGTGCTGCTGGCGCGGAACGCGCACTGGCGCCTACAAACCTAAGGGGATACTTCACGCATTGCGCAATGCTTGAAGTATCCCCTTAGGTTTGTAGGCGCCTAATCGCGTCTAGCGCTGACTGCCCGCCCGCGCCGCAACGTGCCACGGCGCCCTCAGCAACTATTTCTTAACAGAAGTGTTGCGCTGTATCATACGAAATTGAAGGCGCTCCAACACATTAAGAATGACATGCATCCTTTAAGAGCATGGAGCTTTTCTCGTAAAATAAATCAAGATACTACAAGGAAGAGGAGAAATCCGCGATTAAGCTGAGTCCGAAGTAAAGAAAAACCTTCAAGCAAGAAGATGATTTGAAGACGGAGAAGGAGTTTTATTAAAGATAGGATGGGGGTAGCTAGGGGTTACTTTAGAGGCTGAAGACAACGAGAAACAGTAGTTGTGGGCGGATCCAAGGGAGGCATAGGGGGTGTATGCCTACTTCCCGCGACCCCCCCCCCCGAAAAAAGAAGGAAGAAAAGGGTGAAAAGGAACGGAGGAAAGAAGAAGGAAAGACGCTTACGTTCGATAATTATTAATGACAAAATTGACCTGAATTACACCGGAAAGCCACCTCGCATCCCTAAAATTTCAAATCATTCATTTCAAAATTAACAATCTACACTCAAAATTTTGCATTTCATTTATGACGCAAAATTTGAGAACCGGTGGTTTGAAATTTATAACAACGTTCACCTGTGGCTTTTTTTTTACAATTCGATTTTGCGACATTTTCATTCTGCACTTAATCTTTAACAAATCATTTTTTTCGGTGTACATAATTATTAGATACTTTAAAATTTCGAACATTTTCCGACTGAAGCCCTCAGAACCTCCTTTCCACCTTTCACCCCCGAACGAAACGACTGGATCCGCCTATGGCGATAACACCATCAAAAGGAGAAAAAGACGTGAGTTTGGAATTTAGCCTCCTTTCCACCCTCCACCCCTGAACGAAACGTCTGGATCCGCCTATGGCGGTAACACCATCAAAAGGAGGAAAAGACGTGATTTCGGAATTTGATATCAATATTGTGCTGTTTTCAGTTCCGCGGATCGAGATCCTGGGTGACCAGGACATCCACGTGAAGCTGGGCTCGCAGGTGGAGCTGAAGTGCGTGATCACGCAGAGCATCGAGGAGACGGGCTTCATCTTCTGGTACCACAACAACCGGCGGATCCTGGACTCGAAACTCATCAAGATCGAGCGCACCGGCTCGGACACCACCGTCGGCACCCTCGTCATCCTCTCCGCCAAGCAGACCGACGCCGGCAACTACACCTGCGCACCCACCAACCTCCAGTCCGTCAGCGCCTACCTCCATGTTCTCATGGGTAAGCACCGAACTTTCTTTCACACTATTCATTGAAATTCAAGGCGCTGCGCCGCGCTGACCGTACTGTGTTTGGCGCAATGCGTGAAGTATTCCTACAGTCTTGTAGGTGCTATGCGTTTCACGCCAATCGCTGCTGAACGCACTGTGCGCTCCCCGATCAAAAATATGTAATAGTGACATATAAAAACCCGTCAGTGCAACTATTCGTGCTCGGAGGATGACCGTGTTGCATATATGATTAGTTGAAGGCGCTTCGGCCGCACTGGAAAAAAAACGCATTGGATCTAGAGTCCAGACTCTTAAAAACATCTACAATAAAAAATACTCTTGATTCGATCAGATTTAAGCTTAAATCAAGAACCAAGCCTCTTAATTTGAGCGGATTTCCTTTTGATTTAAGCTGAAATCTGATTGAACCAAGAGTCCTTTTTCTTGTCAATGTTTTCAAGAGTCTGGAATCTAGATCCAATGTGTTTTTTTTTTTTTTTTTCTTCCGAGTGCGCGTTCCATGTATTACAATACGTTAAGCATAATGTTCCTCTTAGGGTGGGGCCCTGCTGAAATATCAAACGGTTGATGACTTTTAACTTTCTGTGTGCCAAATGTGCTATCTAACCTCAGCACTTTTCCATCACCTACCGTGTTTCCAGAAACATCGAATTGATCAAAACTACTTCAAGTCATTAGGTCGAAAACATCTCGTTTCTTGAATATTTTCAATTTTCCGAGATACGATGGTGATGAAAAAGAACCGAGGACATTTTCAAATTCCTTTTTTTAAATCAGCTATGGAATGCCCTGTTACATTATTGGCCAGAATACGATATGACGAGGAAAGTTTTATGAAGTCAAAACCGTATGAGCAGTGGCGATTTTGCAAGGTGGCAACACTGTAATCCCTCCATTTAAATCCATTGAAAATATCGATTGTAGTCAAGGCAAGCTGCCTCACCAAGAATCTATTGTTTTAAATAAATACATTTAAATTGAGGAAAAACAGTCTTGCCAACTTTCAAGAATCGCCTCTGCGTATTATGGCACAACGCAGGATACCGCTACACCGGAAAAAAAAAAAAAAAAACACATTGGATCTAGAGTCCAGACTCTTGAAAACATTGACAAGAAAAAATACTCTTGATTCAATCGGATTTTTGCTTGAATCAAAACGAAATCCGCTTAAATTAAGAGGCTTGGTTCTTGATTTAAGCTAGATTCTGATTGAATTAGGAGTACTTTTTCTTGTCGATGTTTTTAAGAGTCTGGACTCTAAATCCAATGTGTTTTTTTTTTCCAGTGTACGAACTCAGCGTTTCGTGATCCTCTGAGTTTATTAAAGAAGTTTCAAACAATGCCATGAAATTTCATATTTTTGTAATTTCATGAAATTTTGTTTGTCTGATTTCAGACGAGCACCCGGCGGCGATGCAGCGCGGGAAGAACTCAGCCTCGCTGCCGTGCATATGGTGGGTGCCGTTCTCGGTGGCGCTGGGCATGGACACCTGTCTGTCCAGGCACCTCACCCTCATGGCGCTCCTCTCCTTTTACCTAATTAGTAGTCTTGTCCTATTCTTCATCCCGGAATCGTGAACTCCCGTCTAGGCGCCCGACTCCACCCCAATTCCGGGCTCAACCACAGGGACAAAACTCTAAACATTACTTCTTCGACTGATTACGTGATTAGGGCACCGCGCCGCACAGTGGATCCAGTCAATCGGGGAGCTCGGACAAAATTTGTAAACTCATGACTCCATTTGCACTGGCTCTTGCAAAAGCTCATGACTCCATTTGCACTGGAAAAAAAACCACATTGTATCTAGAGTCCAGACTCTTGAAAACATTGACAAGAAAAGGGACTCTTAATTCAATCAGATTTAAGCTTAATCAAAGAGAAATCCGCTCAAATGAAGAGGCTTGGATCTTGATATAAGCTTAAATCTGATTGAATCAAGAGTCCTTTTTCTTGTCAATGTTTTCAAGAGTCTGGACTCTAGATCCAATGTGTTTTTTTTTCCAGTGTGGACCGCGTAAAACTGAAAGGAACTAGGCTACATCAGCTATTGCCAAATGTAATTGGGCAATTTAATTTTTTACATGAAAACGGTTGTGCGGATTTTTGTGCAAATTTCAGCGAATTTTTGCCGTAATGCGAAGGAAATTCCTCAAAATTTTCCAAGGGATCCGCACAAACGTTCCCACGTAAAATATTAAATTGTCCAGAACTAATTTGGCAATAGCTGATGTGGCTTGGTTCCTTTCTGTTAAACGCGGTCCATTTAAACAAGACTTTGAGATTTTAAAAGTGGTTTCATTAGTTTTCTCGTATAATTTTCCTCTCTAAGCACCCCTCGAACTTTAATTTGTGACGGAATAAACATCAAAATTTGCGGTTTTAGCCACAAATTTCAAGTCCGACTTCTCAGGTTGACTCGATCCACTGTGCGCCGTCGAGGAAAAACAGGAGAGCAAACTTCGCTTACACGGTCCCAACCTCGGGCCCACGACATAAAAAAGTTTTATTGAATGTGATAGACAAAGCGATAGACTAAGAAGATCTAGAAAAAACGAAGCGATCCTATTGGTGCGCAGGTGGTTGCAATGGACAAAGGAGTTTAGGCACCTTACTAACGGCAAACCACTAGGGACTCTACAGTTGGACCAAATTTTGCAATTCGGAACCTCCATTTCTGGCTCAGTCAGAAGCAACGTATGTACCATTAGTTTCCTTATGTTTATAAGTTTTTTTTTTTTACTGATGAGCCAGAAATATTAGTCCCTAATTGTGAAATCAAGTCCATTTAGTTCATTATTTTTCTCCTCAGTTTATAAGATGCACGCGCTTCAACGAATAAGATCGCTCCATTCTAGCTTTTTCCTCTTTGTCAATTGCTTTGTCTATCTATTTCAATAATTAACGTGCGGGTAACCCAACTTTTCGATCAAAGAAACTGAACTTCGAACTAAAAGAAAAACTTGAAATATAGTGACACACACATAGAGGTAGATCAAAAGGAATCACTAAATTTTGAGTAGGCGCATGCCCTGCCTGGATTAGTGTCTACTTTTGCAGAAGTGTGGCTTGAATATACCCAAAATCTGATGATGACGTATGCATTCAACTGCATTACCTATGAATAATCGAGTCTTCGTTTGGCAGCCTGCCTCAGCGAGAATCGTTTATTTTATAAATATTTAAATGGAGGAAATAGAGGGGGAAAATATTTAGATGACAGAGCAGGAAAGTGGTTATACACCCCCCGTCTTCAGGCCTAAGATGTTTTTTTAAGAAAGGACATCATCTGCATGCGGTTTCCAGGAATGTCTTACCCTCGGAATACCCCCTCCCATCGTCCGTGATCAATTTCGACCATGAAAAATTTGTAAAAATGCCTCTGAAGGATGCAAGCCAAATCCTTAGCCCAGATAAAGGACAAATATTCTCCCTCGTGCTATGGAAACGCACACTAAATTTCACAATGAAGTTCATGTGAAACCCGTGAGAGGGCTGGATATTAAATTAAAAATTAAAACCGTAATTCTATTCACTTTTCACTTCCACTTTTCACCCCGGAAATTTTGGGAAGTTTAGTTGTTATTATCAGTGCAACAGCGAGGTAGACGAAAGTTGTATGCTTCAAGACTCAATTTCAACACAATACAAAGAGATACAAACTTAAAATTGTCGAGCACATCAAGTACGAGTTTATGGTTCAATCGGCCTCGAATTTATTTTATTCTCTTCTGTGATGAGAGTCAGTGAAAATCTCACACTCCTGTTTTTCCTCCATGGTGTTTCGAGTGTCTGATCAACTCTGGTTAAGCTTCCTATGCACAGGAAACTAAATCAAGAGAGGTTATCGGAGGCGATCTCCAATGTGTTTTCAATGACCATTTTGCGCGTTATCTAATGACGTCATTGGTTTTGTCTCGTTGAAATGTTAAGGAAAACTATACCAGCAAAATGAAATGTACCTTTTTTAATGTGTCTTTTGAACATTTTAAAATATCGATCGGCTCTTCAACGATCGAAAATTCACCTTTCGAGGATGATACTACATACAAAGCTTTGACGCAATTTTTAATTAGCTTCCCGAATTAAAATCCTCTGCCCTCAAGGTGTTGGACTTGAAAATAAACTTCAGTGCTCGAGAGACCAACAGCAAACAGACAGAATGAGACAGTAATGTCGTGTCAAGGTAGAACGACGTATGAACATTCAGACTTTGCCAAATCTCCCGAATGAAATATTTATTTTTGACGAAAGCAATTAATTTTTTCGCTTGAAATTTCTAGCCAAACAATAATGAATTACGAAGAGTGTTCGCGGAAAATTCAAAGAAGAGTCTCCGCAAGATTTCCCAGAAAATTCTTGTTTTATAAAAAGAAATTCGGCAACGTCCTAAGGTTCATGCGGCGTTTTACCATAGCACGACAGAGTGTTAAACAGGAATAGTGAGCGGCAAATGAAGCCTGAATTTTTTCGCAATGCGCACGGTGTTAGTTGAACAAATATCACGAACGGATTCGTGTAAAACCCTTTGAGTAAAATTGTTTCACGAGGAAGCAATTAAGTTAAAAGCTTCAATCGTCATGCTCGCTCGAACGTTGTTACGTTCATCGCTTGACTTACGTTCTCCTGAGAACACGAGAAAGAGCCAGACTCCCAAATTCGACCATTTCCCAAACTGCGCGTCACTTCATAATTTTTGGAATGTGTTCATTTATGATGTAACGGAGCCAGGGAAAAACGGACTTAAGCTGAAAAATTAAATATGATAGCACTGTGCCACTTCATTTCCATCATTGAACATTGAAACATCCGAAAATTAATTTTTAAATAGCGTTCTGAATCGAGTATTTTAGTCAACATGCAGAGTCCTCGACGATTCCTCAAATTCTCACTGTCTTTTATTTATAAACCCCTGTTTTTTTGTTTTTTCAAAAAAAATGTCTGGATAATTGATGGGTGATCTACTCAGATATTTAGATATTTCATCGTGTCTCATTTTTTAGCGCCGAGTTTGGAAATGACAACATTTTTTCCCTTACTACGTTAGGATCTTTGTCTAACTCCGCATTCCACCTCCTCCAAAAGTCGAACTTTCTTGGGGAAAAAATAATTTTCCAGAAAATTGATTTATTATGTACAAAAACCGGGGTTAATTTTGGATGCAGTGCAGTCAAAAATATAAAGAAAATTTTAATGACGTGATCGTTTTTCTCGGTAAGAAAGTTTTTTCATTCAATCGATCAAATCTCACATATTTAGAGTAAATACTATCTGTTTTTGGGGGGAATTAAAAGGGGAGGCTACAGTTTTTCGTAAATATCCACACGAGACTTTGTGCTTGATGCTGTTTAAAATTCCAAAATGATCTCAATTTCTTTTCGTGCATCAAATGCCAGCTCCCCAGTAAGTATTATTTCTCGAAAAAACTGGAGATCCTCTGGGAAAAACTCCTTGAGATTTTGAAGGTCCGCCAGAGCCTCTATATGTTGACAAAATGCACTAAAAACAAATCTCGGTGTATTTACTAAGAAAAGGGTAAAATTTCCAAGAATTCAGGGTTCTATTTCATCCCAGTTTTTTCTTGGTAAAATTACCATTTACGGAATTGGTAATTTTACCGAGAAATCTCGGTAAAATTATTGACTTTCTCGGTAATTTTACTAGACTCCGGTAAAAACGCCAATATTTTTATCGACTGTGGTAGAATTACCGAGATAAAATGGCGAAGTTACCGGGAATTGATTACCAATAAAAGTGGTATTCTTACCTGAAAAAAAAACAGTATAAATACCGGTTTTCAGGTAAGCTTACCAGTCTGTCTTGGTAAAATTAACAATAATTGGTAAAAAAGTGAGATGGTAAAGGTACCAACGGACCTTGGTAAAAACGCCGAGAATTTTTTTTCAGTGTGGTGCTAGGTCGTTCTTTAACGCTTGATTTTACTCATGCTCGAAACATTTTTACATGATGCTGTTAGTTTTCAAATTCTCCAGTTTAATTAATTAAAATCAGCTGCACGCTTTGGGCAATCTTTAGCGCATGAAACGTGTGCACTGTATGCCGCACCAAGGCTTTCGATGAAGTCGTAATAATTACAGAAAACAATAGTCAAGAAGCCCGTTAACAGCCCCGAGAGCCTCTTTAAATTTAGATACCATTTGCCCTGTGACGGCAATTCCTCCTTTTTCGAGCCTTTTGCTTCCCTCTTCCCATCGAAAACAACACTTTTCAATCAAGGCGAACCAATTTTCATTACTCTGCTAATATAAAGGTTTCCCCATACAGTATCCTTCCACCAGATCGTCACGTAATAGGCCTTCCAGGAAACAATGAAACAACTTTAAACAATATTCCTGGAATACTCCTCACAAACTGCGAACTATTTCGTTATTCCTCCGGTAAGAAAAATCATGAGGCATTGATCAAAGGTAATTTGAAATGAAAGGGAGTTATGTAAGCGTAATTCTCCCGCCTTACTGCGAGGGCGGATTCTTTTCACTTCGTCAGTTATGATCCCGTTTTCCGGAAACTGATTTCATTCAGTTTCGCGCTTGTTTTACCTGCCTCTGTTTTCTGCTCGATACTCATGTATTTTTCCCCCTTTTTTATTGCCGGTCACTGTTTCCTCGTACATTCTTTACAAATTTTTCAAAGGAAATACCTAGAATGTCCAACTTTCAACTTTTGATCTTTCTCCTTTTACTTCCGGTTGACGCACCTACTGACCCTCTTTGAATTTCCCCACTAAGTTTTCCCTCTAAGTTTTCTTTTGAAACAGGAGGAAAAATCA